GGAAGGCTCAACCTACTCTAGAAGGCTGAGGTGAGAAAAAACCACACAACACGTGGTATATGACATACCTCTTCAATGGAAGCCCTTTCTTGTGTCTTATGCGAAAACTCTCAAGGATTCATGACTTAAGAACATGTACCTGAAATGTCCGTACCCTTTACAAAGAATCTATATATCTGGTTAATTTCCTTAAAAAACGCATTATTGCCCTCCATGTTCACATGCAACAAAGTAAAAATTTAGAGTCTGATATATAGTAAGCTCAAGGCTGAGAAACTTAGTTTAAAGTTTTACATCTACCAAGAAAAGGCTTTCTAAAATCCATATTAAGAACATTTTTTCTACATCAGCTAATATGTGCCATGCCTCGACGAAAAATAAAGATAACAATATAAAACAGACTTTCTATGAACAGCTTAAACAAAAATATGACCACTGTTCCCTCTATGACATCAAAATCGTTGTAGTAGACTTCAACGAAACGATGAGTAAAGAAGATATTTTTGATCCTATTGTCATAAAGTGCAGTCTTCATATAAAAACTATTAATAAAAAAAAAAAATTGTTGATTTCGCATTTTCAGTATACAGATTTCAGTTTAGCATACATAAAGCAACATGACTGTCCCCTGATCAAAAAACAAGACCCCTATTTGATCCCATTGTGACAGACGGAAGGCATGTTTCCAATGTCTTGGATGTACGTATTATCCAAGCAACCAACATCGACTCAGATCATTACCTTGTTGCAGCCAAACTTCACTTATGTTTATGTAAGATGAAGAGGGAACGTAAACAAATACAGCGAAAACTAGACGTCAAAATCTTGCAATCACAATAAAAAGTCTTTTCTACTCGACTCTCCAAGTAACTCTCATCTGAACCGGAAGGAACCAATATATGTTTTAAAGAATGATATCGGCAAAAGTTAAGGGAAGACAAATGACTTGGGAAAACGAAGATATTTTAAATGATCAAGACTATACAAATGACCTGTGCCTTATGGCAAACAGTTAAAACGATATGATTATACTTTTTACAATAGTTAATTATTTTATTGGTATTGATAGTATTTCCACATAATGGAAATACTTACATAATCAATAGTCAGCAGAAAATATTTGAATGAATTTGTTTTATTAATAATATTTTCACAATAATTAATTATTTTATTTATATTGATGATTACTGACCTCATTTCTACATAACGGAAATGCTCACAGATTGGGCCTATTTACATTATCATGAACGTGAGATGAACTTAACGACAACATGAACTGTCAGTTCAGTTTACACTATCATGAACTCTAAAGTGGGGTGCAGACTATCATACTGGTGTGTCATACGAGTTGCGCTCTCTCTTGCTCAAATTTCTTCTAGCGACCGAATTTGAACAGGTATGACACACAAGAGTAGGCAAAATTTTTGAAGAGTGCTTTTGCGGGTATTGCTGTGAAAATTTGTGTGTTTAAAATAAAATTTTAAAATTGAAAAAATTGATAGTTAACGTATAGGTTGTGCTTTGCTTATAATTGATTATAATTTTGTATATTTTATATATGCCGCGTTTTTTTTTGCGATCTTTATATTCACAGCTTTGGACATCCCACAAACAGCTATTACTTTTGTTAACATTCGATGAAAGCATCTAAAAATGCTTTATCTGCATCCATATTCATATTTTTTTTAGGTTTATTGGTCATTAAGCACAGTAGTTAAAATGAAAAGATCAGTAAAGGACCGTAATTAATTTCATTCACTACCTGTAAAATTTCTTAAGAAATTTTTCATAAATAGATCATACAAATAATGTATATACATAAGAATGTATATATCTTATTTGTTTTTCAAGAAATTTGATCATTTCCATATTTTTGTTAGTTAAAGGTTATTAACATTTAAAATTTTTTTATTTTAATAACAAGTTTTAACAAAGAAAAGCATATTTAGAATACGAAGTATTATATCTTAAATTTATGTTATAAATTAATTGTTATTATGATTAATTTTCTATAAGTTTTTTAATTATTGAGCTAATATCGTTAATTTAACGATGTTTATATTTAGATGTTTTTTTAAATATCAAATTACTTATAATCATCGTTTATAAATTAAAACAAAATTAAATAAAATATTTAATTGTATTTTAGTTTTTTATAAGAATTTTATATAAAAATTCATATTTTTTTAACTAAAATACAATTAAATATTTCACACAAATTTATAAGTGTAATTTTAATAATAATAAATATAATAATAATAAATACAATAATAATAAAATAATAAAAAAACATATTAAATTTATATTATAATTCTACATATTCCACCTGCTTACAATAAATTTGCAAGGCAAAAATGCTCTTGTATGACGTATGAATCGTTAGGGGTGACAGACTATCATACACAACGCGTATGCGAGAGCTGTTCACCAAAATTTTGGTGAGCACGCCAACACGTTGGTAAAGGTGGCAGACTATCATACCTGTGTGTCATACGACGTTTTTCTCTCTCGTATGACATACCAGTATGATAGTCTGCACCCCACTTAACTCTCATGAGCGTGAAATTTGTTTTGTTTTGTGTAAACGTGTAAAATGCTTGTGTGTAGTAGTGCAGAGCACAGAAATTGAGAGTATTCAGCATTAAAAGGTAAACATAAACATAACATTGCATATGTATGCGTGTCAAACTGAAGAAACGCAGCAAATTTCATTGCGTGAAATTCATGAACTCACATCACACTCTCTTCCCTCTCTCATCTACCGGTAACCGGTTTTCAAGTTCATGTTCATGTTACGTTCATGATAGTGTAAATAGGTCCATTCAATAATCAATGGTAATTAATATAGATCGAAAATACTTATTTAATAAAATTAAAAAATATTAAAAATATCCTTCAAAAATAAAAAATGCAACACAAAAAAGTTTTAAATAAATATAATGAATACTAGTATAGGAGAGTATCCCTAACTCATACCTTCTCTAGTCTAGTACATCAAATTTGGTTAGTTTACCTCTACGCCTTCTTCCACTAACTACAACTTCAAATACCTTTTTCGCTGGAGCATCTTTATCCAGCATTTTTCCGCTGAATGTTAATTAGATGAATTATGTCAACATCGTAATAAAGCTTGTACAGTTTGTGGTCCATTTGCATGCGGTACTCGTCACCAACTCGTAGAGTACTAAAGATCTTACGAAGAACTTTTCACTCGCACACTCCCAGTGCAACTTCATCATTCTGTGATAACATCCATTCCTCTGCGCCGTACAGAAACGCATAAAGGATAAGTGATCTATATGTTGAGCGTAAGTTTTGTTTGTAGAGAGAGAGCTCTACATCCCAATTGCCTACTACGCCAATAGTAGGACCTATTAGCAATAGTGACTGATATCCAGGTTGACATCGTAGTTGTTCATCATGACGGTGCCAAGATAGATGAAATCCTTGACAGATTAGAAAGTATAGTCGCTAGCCACTAGCTCGGCGTCCGAGCAACGCACATTTGTACCAGCAGCTAACCTGTACCTGTTTTGCCCTCATTCACCGCTAAGCCCATTCCTGCAGATTCCTTTCCGATAGAATCAAAGATAGCTGTAGCATACGAAGTATCCAACGATCTCGATGTCGTCGACATAAGCAAGAAGCTGGATACATTTGTAAAATATTGTTCCTTTACGATGAACATCAGCCCTGAACATAGCCCATTCTTGCAGATCCCTTTACAAAATTTTATGCCACATAATAGACAAAAATGCAAGCAAGGACAGTTAACAAGGTAACGAGCTAGAAGACAGGTCACTCAAAACATACGTGCTGAAATATCAAGAATAGAAATTTACATTTATATTCCCATTGTTTTTATTAAGTAATAGAAATCTACATTTTTATTGCTTATTTATTACTAATGAAATCAACATTTCGTTAGTAGATCAATGGCAAAGTGATAGTTACCCAGTGATATTATTACTCATAGCGTTTCCAAGGCTACCACATACCCATTGATTCTACAAAAAAGATATTTACATTTTTGTAACAAGACCTCCGTTTGCGTCGTACGTCAGGTCTTTCAGATACCATAGTGAACTTTCCACTGTCCAATCATAAAAATTTATTGTAGGACTGAGCCTGGAATCCGACGAGCGAAACCTCGGCGAAAAAGGTTCATTACAGTATGATCACTTCCATGGCGAAATTAAAAAGATCACGTGATGAGCGATAATCTCCTCTGAAACCTCGCACGGTATCAAAAGGTCCAGATAGAATCGATCCAACTTTAATGAGTATTGTTGTGGTTCATTGTGCAAAGCTGTATTAATTTTGCAGAGATACCGAGCTCAGACATTGCTCGCGATTTTTTATTGGGTTATTGGATGCTACTTAATAATCAACAAAAAGGTTTTATTTGGCCAATAGTGAAGCGAAAGGTCGAAAGCTGCACTGATAAGACCCAATGAATGAGTTGGCATGCAGCACACAGTAGAATTGAAAAGACCTCGTACACGACAGGTATTAGGCAAATTCCGCAAAAATTGGCGCAAATCGTCGGGTTACCTTTTTTCAAAACAGGACAAAGACTATCGCTTCCGAATGACCCACTAGCTGTACGAGCTTTATCACGGAATCGATATAATTCATGGAATTAATTGATCATGTCGTGACAATGAATGAAAATACTCCAGTGCGTGGAGCATTTTTTTGCGTGGCTGAGGTCTATTACTTATTTCGTAGATATTTATTTTTGAAGCTTAAGTTTACGTCATATAAATAGAAACACATACAAAGAATCTTTTTTGTCTTTATTTCTAAGTAAAAAAGGTCATAATAAAAAAATTAGTTAAGCTCATTTGGTGCTATTATAAATATTTTTTATACTAAATAAAATGCTATTTTCAATTTCATGCTAAACATAAAAAATTTGATTTTAAAATTTATATCAAGCGCACCTAAGATTATTTTTAAATAATTAGATCTCTAATAAAAATGAAAGAAATTTAACAAATAGTAGCGTTTGTATTCTATTTATAAGGCCGCATTATTTTAATAAACATACAATTTTACAGAATAATTAATTCTAGCTGCTTATTTTAAAAATGCAACTTGTACAAAAAATTTACATATGTTTATATAAAAATTATTCGAAAAATATATTTATTCTAATTAATGGTTAAATAATCTGTGACATTAAATTTCGGAGTATTTTTTTAAATCACAAATAACATAAAAAGACAATAATAATTAGTTTCTTAAACCATGTTAGTATGCGAAAATTTCGTGGAATTTAAATTTTTAGAATGCTGATTGGTAATTGCAGTTCTTTACAAAATATAACTCAAAGGGAAGAAAATAATCAGAAGACTATTAGTTCAAAGTCGTTAATCACCTCTAATTAGCTTAAGTTTTTGTTAAAACAGTTGTTGTAGATCAAGAATTTAATATATCATCATTAGCTTTAGACGATTCTGCATTTAACGCTATTCTGTTTTTACGTTTCAATTCTAACAACTGCTTTCTTTGCGCTTCCCGTTTTAAGGCCGCAGCAGATTTTATCTCTCCCGTTTTGACCTTATTAATATTAGGTGTATTGGTTAATTTCACAGTTTTATTATTCAATTTTTTCTCATTTTTAAAATCAGTTTTTTTTGTATCATCGACCGGTTTCTACAAATATATAAAAAATTGACATTAAATAAAAAAAAATTATTAGTTAATAAAAATCTTACAATCCAGTTATTGCGCTTCAATACTGCAACTTCATCAAAAATGGAGTTTACATGCTCAATTTGTAAGCATACCATATCCCAAAACCCTTGTAAGTCATCAATTGTGGTAGGAAATTCATCTTCTTGTGTTCTATTCAAATTACTGTGACATAATCCTTAAGAAAGAAAAGCATGTCAATACAAAAACTATATGAATATAAAAAGAAATTTTAATCATTCCACTAATGGTGTTATTAATTTTATGCCCTAAACAGTATTATTAAGTATGAGTTCTTGAATCTTTGCTCAAGTTAGGTACAATTACCGTCTTATATATTTAAGTATAACCACCAACTTCCATAAATCATTTCCGTATTTGCTAATAACACTAATATGTTTGAATACAAAAATAATTGTATTGTATGGTATATGAAGTCACTACTATATTTCTTTCAGTTAATATTCAACGTGCTCAAATATATGCAATATATAGGTATTTATATATTTCATATAATATATGAATATCATACAATACAATAGCTTCATTCAGTTTGAGTATTAATTTCATTTTTTTACAACAGTATACCGTTTAATTATATCTTATATCCAATATTAGAGAAGATTCATTAAAAAAATATGATTATAAACGATTATCCATTTCTTAGTCGTTATTTGACAGCATTGTTTCAGTGATACACGTCAAACAGAAGGGTCCTCCGAGGTATCCTATGTTAAGTGTACAATTTGACATTATCACTGAGTTGTCTACTAATTGATTTGCACCTTATACTGCACTTATACTGTAATTTTCGCTCACTCGCTGACAGAAGAAAGGTCCAACTGTCAAAAAATCGAACCTCTATGAATCCGCCTCTAACAGCGGTCGGAAAATGTAGCTGATTGATTTCGCTGCGGCACAAAACATGATAGTATGTAACACCAGATGCTCCCACAGCGGTATTCATAAGGCAAAGTGTTTATATTCGGATCAAACAATACAAAACCAGATTAATAATTTCGTGATTCACGCAAGACATGCTTCAAGTGTAATGGATGAAAGATGTTTCGTCTTTTATATATCGGATCAGGCCATTACCTTGTCGCACAGAAACATATATTCCCGTACACAGAAAAACTCGACGTCAGTAAGCTTTAATTACGAGAGGCATATTAAGTAATGTTAAGTTTTGTTTTAAATTTGATAAAACTTTTACCGAAATGTCCCAATTGATAAAACAAATTTGTGATGATTGTTTATCCCAAGTTCGTAAGGGGTGTGTACAGCTTAAAACCGGTAATGATATGCATAAGCAGATATAAAGGAAGTGCCTCTGGTTAGCCAGTCAAAAATCAAGACTATTATAGATCCCATTAAAACTGTGCATGACTTAATCAAAAACATACCAAATTTCTCATTAATATTCATAGAAGTGGAATTTATATGTTAAAAGTTCTAAACAGATATCAGTTATCCGTCTGATATCTCTAGGGCAGAAAGACGACTTTCTCGTGCAGTAAATAATATTTTGCCCCTACTGAAGTCAATGTACAACTACTTGCGAAACAGTAATTTTTTAGGTATAAATTACAGCTGTACTTCGCATGACATCAGTCATCTGTTCTCAAGCCTTAATGCACACTCTCATTTGAGCTCTATTGATCTTTGGTCCCAACCCATTGAATGAGATCAGGGTCTTTCTAGGTTAGCTTCAAGTAAGACCCATCTCACTTATTCAACCAAGCAACCCTTCTTACTCTACCCTCACTCTACCCTCACTCAACCATGCCTTAATTCCTTTCATGAACCTTGCTGTATAGATGTACACGGGAGACAACAACAATATTGCAACTTATTAAAGTGTTCCAAGAAAATTTGAAGAGACACCAATCAAATTTCACTAGTCGAGTCGTTTTTCCACAAAGATATCTCCGTAAAAGTACAACTACTGAATATTTATTACAATTAAATCATTAATTTATCTTACCTTCGAATTGCTTCATTTTTTGAGAAACCAACAACCGTGCTTTACCAGAAGCAGAACGCAAAAATCCTAAACTGTCTTCTGGTATTTCGGGATTAGCCTAAAAAATAAAAAAACATTTGTTAAAATTTTTATATCTTTTGTAAACAAATAAATTTTGTGTGAATAATAAAATATTATATTTAAAATTAAGAAATAAATACTGTTACAATGTCTTATATTTACCTACAAATTACCCTAGTTGATTTAATTTCTAATTTTTATTGTCCAAAGCATTTAGTATTTAGAATTTATAATTAGAAGCGATAAAGGGGGGACAACACCACCATTTTTTTATTTTGTAGCGCTTACCTCTGTTACTAAGTGAAGGTGATCTTTTATCCAGCTGTTATTGCAATCACACTTTTAACTATCCTATATCTTAATGACTCAACATAAGTTTCGAGGGACCCAAATAGATATCCATCAACGCTTGACTCTTTTCTAACTAATGCAACAGACATTTTGTCATTGCCATTGTCTCCTAGTAAAAGCAATATTAAGCAAACTACTTAACAATATCGAATGTCGAGTGTTCAACTATAATAAAGCAAATTCGATCGAATGAAATGATAAAATTATTATTGAGTCAAACATTAACTTTTTCAATAAATTAATAGTTTCAACAATAGAAAGTAATGGAGGTTAAAAGTACACGACTTTTAACTAGTAATTATCAGAAACTTCTTCCGAATTCCGTTAAATATCTTACTAGATTAAAGTCAAATTGTAGACTTGATAAATAAAAAAATAATTATGCTTAGAAACAAAGAATGAAGGGTACTAACCCTAGCGACTTTAGATGAGATTAGGCACTTTTTTGGAAATTTAATTAATCAAAAATTATCAAAAAAATCATTTGTTAAAAGAAGGAAGCAACCGAAATCAGAAAAAATGATATTCTTGCTAGTAAGTTTAAGCAAGACCATATGTTAGCAGCAAACTTTAATGATCACTATTAACACAGTACAAGGTGCAAATCAATTAGTCAATATTTCAAACTACTTCAAAACAATACAGCTGTATCAATATCTAAGATAAGTAAAATCATTAAATACCTAAAGAAAAGAAAAGCGTATGAACTAGACGGGATTAGAAAGATCCTTCCTAAATCCGATGTCAAATTTCTAACATCCATAATATGGAAAGAATTAAAAGTGACTTCTATAAAGAAGCCTAACAATTTATCGGCAAATTCTTTGTCAAGACTAATAGGCCTGTTAGTCTTTAATCAGCAATTGGAGAAAATATTAAAATAATATATTATTATATTAAATTTATTGAAGTAGAAAACCTCTAAAGCAATTTGGATTTTGAAGATAACACAGTTTTTCACATTCATTGGTGCACATCAGAAATCTTATTAAGAAAAGCTTTACAAATAAAAAGAGCACAAGAATGATGGTGTAACCTTTGATTTTGTGTGGCACAAAAACCTAATATACAAAATGAAGAATTTCGGCTTTCCTTTTAGTATATTAAATAATTTAAAAATTTCTTATGAGAGTCGTCCGATCACAAACAGAATTATTTAACTTGGTAGCAACTTTTATTCTCGCTGGTTGTCTTAAAGGATCTTGCATGTCCCCAATAATATAAAACATATATCTACACGTTGCAAGTCGGTAAACTATACAGTCCTCAAAGTATAGTTGCTTTGCAAATATTTATTTTTTTATTTATTAAAGGTTTTGACGTTTCAATTTTTCTATACAACTTCAATAAATTTGATATTAGAAGTTTTCCATCTCTGATAATGTTGGAAAAATTTTACAACCAAAAATATTTTATACTCACCGATAACATTTCAATATGGATTTCCGCTTCATCTGCTAATTTTAAAATGCGGTCTTGTTCACTTTTCAAAATATTTAAAAAATAATTTCCATCTCTTTCTGAAGAATTAGACTGTTTTAGCTCAACATTGTTTAAATTCGTAATTAATTTATCAGCATTACATTCAACAACTGCGCTGTGATCAAGAAGATCTAAACTGATTTCCGTTGTGCTTAAAGCCTCATTATCATTTGTTTTTTTATCAGTTGCGTTCCGTAAATAACTACGTTTTGGTGATATTGAAGGTAATTGTGAGCGAAACTCTTGACTTAGGTGCCGCAAAACAGGAAGATCCACACTATTTTCACATTCTTCACTTAAGACTCTGTTTTGAATAAATGACGGTTGTATTGACCTTAAGTTATTTAGTTTCTGATAGTCTCGATTTGGTGAAATTTGCTTAAATTTTTGAATTAGCTCAGGTGATTGTGAATCTTCTTTATATATAGGATTATTACCAACATGTGTTTTTTTGGGACTATAAAAAGCTTGAGCCAAGGCACCAGGCCCATATAATCGCTCAACTCGTTGCTGAATAAAACTTACTTGCTCTGTTTTTGCTTCGTTTGACTCTAATTTCTTTGTATTTATTTCCGACTCTATTAATACAGATTCTTTAGACTTTACTTTGTTTAAAACCGGTGGTGTTACAGAGTTTTTGTTTTTACAATATTGTACTGTTACATTAGATGAGGGTCGAATAGGTGATACTTCTCGCGACTTATTAATATCTTGGCGTACTTTTGAATCATATGTGGTTAGGTTAGAGTATCCATTAACACAACAAGCTAAGCTTAAGTAACTTGGTTTTTTACTTTGTTTATCATCAAAACAATTTTTTGAATTCAAATAATCATTGCTTTCATTTTCTGACATCACGCAAGCTCCTTTCGAAACTGGATCGAAAAGCGTAGTTGAATTTTGTATCGGTAATCGGGAGCAACGTTCTTTTAAATTTTTGGTAAATTCCGTTGATATGTCCTTTATAGAATCAGGCGAAGAGATATTGAGACTAATACTAGTTTCTAAATAAAAAATTACAAAACAAAAAAATTATTATAAGATTTATCATTACGAATTGCAAGTACATTTAGTTTTTTACAACTAATGATAGTTAACAACTATATACGAGTTAGTACCGTGTCAAAACAAAAAAACATTTATCAGTAAACTGAGTAATATTATAAGGACCTATGGGCAACATTGCTAATAACAAGCCGTATAATACCTTTATTGTGAAAAATTCAAATTGCTCCCAATTTGAAGGTTAATAGCCTAGTGCTAGCTCAACAATTATAAAAAAAGTTCTATGACTAACAATAATACCCAGTAAACATACTCTTATGTAAGGAGCAAGAACCAATTTTAAGGAACAAGAACCACAAATTATAAAATGATAGAAAAATCAAATCTGAAATTTTTTGACTGTCTTATATTTGTTATCTGTCTTATATACAAAAAAAAATGGCTTATGACCTTAACGAAACACCGCTAAATTTGACTAGTTTAACGCGGCCATGACAACAAAATACTTACCAGGAACTGAAGTTTAAATACATTCAATCTCATTCAATTACCCGGACTCTTACAGATTTTAAAGAGGATAACAAAAAGAAAAGAGAATATTATAAGCGAAACAGAATTCGAATCCATCTAATCGAAAGCTCCAAAAAAGTTATTATTGATGAGTATGAGGACAACTATCCAAAGAATAGCTGATTTAAGTTATTACCAATAAATATAAGAATAATTGTGACTTATTTGAAAAAATCGGAAATTTAACATAAAGAAGGACTTTAATACTTGACAAACAATTATATCTATGTGGTGCTTATTCAGATACAGAATTTGAACTATCATTGTAGCCTTAGAATGTAATTGACCCTAGTACTTACAACCCAAATCTATTGATAATAGATTAGTTTTAGTACTTGTAACATAAGTTTCCATGGTCTCGAATATTCCCTAGATACAATATGCTTATCATAAAAAGCGGCAAGCCTTGAAGGGTGTGATTTAAAAGAAACAGTGTTGTACCACCTTCGTATGGCCTTCTTTCTTATAAAGGAAACAATAACTTATGGAAATTATATGTACATGCGGAGAAAACGGTTTAAATAACCTGGTAAACAATAGAAAGAAAACAAAAACTAGACCGCAGTAACAAAGTGGTCGGCGCAGCAGAAATAGAGGAACTCCATTACCGAGACGACCCCCACATGTCCAGGAGCATCTAACAGCTACAACAGAGAATACCTTAACAATAGCAGCGACTCAACAAACCACTAACATCAAAGATTGAGATATCAGAAAAAGGTGCAGTATACTTACGGAGTTAATTACTCTGCTGGAGTTGGAACAGGGAATGCTAAGATCAACGTCTAGTCGGAAACAGACACCAGTAGCAGCGAGATTGCACTAGTAAAATGGACAACATTTAAGTTAAGCCCCAAAGCAGCAGGGAATAAATCTAAAAATTATCAAATGCAAAACAAATGAAACCTAATACCGAAACCTAAAGCCATCTGAACACTCTGATAAATAGATAAAGGAAACAGACAAAATTCAAAAAGAGGAAGAATTTAATAAGACCTAGAAAGGATGCAAAATTTGTAGAAAAAAAGGTAGATGATACGAAAAATGCACATATACTATGTTCAAATTTGAACATCTGTCTGTGCGCCTATTACTTAAATAACATATTCAGTTATTTGGGTATTAAATATTTTAGTATTTTATTTAATATTTTAGTAAATTAAATTTATAATTTTAAATTATAAAATACAGAGAGTCTTATATTTATTGTAAAACGGAGTAGACGTGTTTTTGAGTTGAAAAAGATAAGTCATAGTTTCTTGCACATACTACAAAAAGTAAGTGTATAAATAGAGCTCAAAGCCATTAGCAAAAACATTAAAGCAATACAAAAGGGGAAGGTTGTTTATAGAACTTAAGAGAAATTTAGGAAAAATCACTCAGAAAAGTCACTCAGCCAAAGATAAAGCTCTAGAAGCTGTTACAACAAATACACACTGTTACAATCCAGTGCACGTACATTATCACAGATCTGAACACAGAATTAGATTCTTGCACTTGGACACATTAACGTAGATTGAATCTGATAGTTCAAATAATGGACATATGGCCACGTAACTTCCAATTATTAAAAACTGAATCAGACGAATTTTTACAGACGCACCATCTGTAAAAATATTATAAAAATATGAAATAAAAATTTGTAATATAAGTGTTATAAAATTGCATTATAATTAGCATGTGTGACAAATTGTGTGGCAAATACAAATTTCTTCTCAGCTGTCAAAAATGCATTCAGCATGTCATAATTTTACATTCAGCACCAAAAACTCACTAGCACTTGAGGAATAGCATTTTACAAGAAAGTATTAATTGCGGTGAGAAATGTGTTATTCGTTTGAGTGTACAAAAAGTTTTTTCCACATTTGAGGAATCGATCCCCTGATCTTAAATGACTGTATTTTATGTATATCCAAATTATTAAATAAGAATTATTATCCACCTGTATGCTGGAAGCTGACTTATGAACCACTAGGCTATCAATATTGAAAAGACCTACGACAATAAGGAACCGTGCAATGACAGTCAACCTCCTCCTCTTCTTCTGTTGACTGTTGGTATCTGACACCGTTTTAAAAAAATTATTTTTAGTAAAAGATAAGACTTACAACTTATAAGCTCTTTAGAGGTTAAGAAAGAAAGTTTGAAACTTATACTGCTTAGACTGCGTGATATACCCGTGAAAGATGTTAACATATTCTAATACTCACACAATAGTGTGAATCTAAGCTTACATCTGAAACAAGAACAAATTTCTTACACTCGTTATAGATGATTCCAAAATCATCTATAGTGGGATTTGGTCAGGAATTTTACACACTAATCTAATTTTAAGTACCTTTTTACTTTAATGTTAACCTTAACAGGTTAGTTCGAAAGACTTTGAAAAATATATTATGGCAATTATCTTGAAAGAATTATAAACAGGTATACAGAGAGTATACATAGTGTGAAAATACAGCGAAAATTCCACATAATTTATTACTATATTTCAAATTGTAAACTAAATGATTTAATCTATATATATAATTTCAAACTTTCATTGTATTTGGATTTATAATGGCGCAAGATCACGTAGATCTAAAAAAAGTTATTTACACCGATATATTCGTGACCGAAAGAAAATAATTTTTATTAAGTGTTCACGGTTGAAATAAATCACAGCTGGATAATGCAAGTTTTCCAACTATATATAATTAGTTGTGTGAATTTATACGCGATAGTATATTCACTTCGAGACCTCCACGTTCGAAATTGCCAATTAAGACTACAAAATTTTATAAACAAATTATTGAATCACACGTGATGATTTTTAAACAGTATTGGCAAATATTTCAACGTAATCTAGGTAAAATTCTGTTTTAATTCACCTATGCAGGTAAAACATTGATCCATTATAACATAATATAGAGAAATCAGAAAACAGATACTAGTCTGTGAGGTACGAGATATTTATCTTTCAACGGGAAAACACAATGGCAATTACCACGCATTAAGACTTAACACAAAGATTTAGATTAATCAAGTTGTTCCGAATTTTAGTTAAAGTTAGAAAATCTATATATCTAAAACAATTGTTTTATACTGAGGAACAACAATAACTACTAAGCTGCACAAGCGCACTGCACCAAACAAAACCTCATAACGCTACAGCAATCAATGAAAAGGAGAAGACTTTTTTAATTAGTTTATCATCTAAAATATTTCCTATCAATACTAAATCGAAATAAAACCATCCACTAAATATTAATAAACGTATTTTTAAATTACGTCTCCACTATATCAATTTAGTACTCGTGTTTGGAAAAATTTGAATGAATCGATTTTTATACGACGAAAATCTGAAATTATATTCGAATAACATAAATAAACTGTGTATTATATATGCAAGAAGGTACAAAGTAATATAATGATCAAACCAATAAATTATTGAAACAATATGACTAATTGTTACAAAATGTATACAATAAAATACTTTGGATAAGTGTTAGTTTATAAAAAAACTGTTAGACGTGTGCATTTTGTTTTTAATGTGTGACACATTGAATTGTGGGTTTTTATATTAAATTGAAATCCTACTTAAAAACACTTAAATGAGTACAACTGACAAAAAAATTATTTTTAATATATGTAGTATAATATATTTTGAACCTGATTTTCCAACAGAGTCGACATCTACATCTAAAGAACAACTTCCAATTGAGTCCGTACTGCGGTCCATTTGAATCCAGAGCAACTAAAATTAATTAATATTTGATGTCAGCGTACATGCCATGGTTGAATATGCCATATATGAATAAAATTCAATGCAATTTATTTGTTTTAGTTGCATATGAAATGACTAAATTATCAAACAAATTTAATAGAAAGCGTGTTTTTATATTTTTAAGAAAGGCTTACAAGTAGAGCTCATAACAAGTCAAAATAAAATTACTCTTTGAATCATTTCATAGTTTTCCCTTACTTAATAAAATTTACACCATATATTTACTATAATTTAGCAGCCGACATAAAACAATTTGTTGATGTACACCGATACTGAACGATTTCTTCAATAAATTACTTCTGAAGTATCAACGTCGTTAAAACCAAAAATATGGAACACACGACTAGAATTCGGAAAATACAATTAGCGCGAGACGAGAACCCAAATATCAATTGCATTTTTTTTTTACATAAGTTAAGAGGAGACAAAGTAATTTTTGTTGCTCTTTCATTTCATACTAACTAATAGAAAAAATCAAAAAGACAATTTTTTTAATCCACTCTGCTGGATTGAAGTTCAAATATTAAGAAATCTTAATATGGCAAAGAATATTAACTAGAAATGATAGTGAATCGAAAAAATACAAAAAAATATTGTGCAATAATGTGGATTATTTTACATACTTCTTTTTGCCAGTGTTGTGGTTTCTTTTTAATTTCTCGTCGCTATCCGCTTGAAATAAATATAGTTTACTTAATAATATATCACACAAAAAACATAAATGTATAATTGATATATTAATTCATTTCTACACATATATATTTTGTGTCTTGCATATTAAAAAAATGAAAACAAAGATTCCATTAAATACTTATACGGCACTTACACTGGCCGAAAATGGCTCATTATGGTCAAAAATCGAAAATGAGAAGCGAATGGCTCATTCTTGCATATAAAATTTCAAGCGCGAATGAGCCATTCCATCACATTCTGTATAAATGCGTCCCAACGACGTTCACATGCGTTCCAAATATGTTTCAAATGCAGAGGAATACAACTCTAAATAAAAGGTCTTCATGGCATTTTGACAGTTTGAGAAATCTGTTTTTGACATATTTACAAAAAAGGTAAACAAATGTTTCGTGGTTGCATTTTCTTGAAAACGATACACCTCATTTTAGAACTTCTACTTCCCAAAAGGTACTTAATCGAAGTTAAAAATATGTTTTAAGTTTATATTGTAAGGTTTGAAAACATATTTAACCTTCATGCAATATTTTTTTGGCACAGGCCAAAAATCAAATCAACAAACAAGTTGAAAAATCAGCTGTTTGAAATGAGAACAAACGAATTACAACGAATGTAAACACTTTCAAATGGCTCATTCACAATGAGCCATTTTCAGCCAATGTAAACGCCATATAACACTGTGTTTACAAAAATACATTCCACCTGCAAATTTTCGAG